AAAAGCTTATGCTCTAATAAATTTGTTAGTCTCTAAGGTGCCACAAGTACTCCTGTTCTTTTTGCTAAATTACATGATCCACCCACCCACAGGATGGGCTTCTGTGTGTGACATCAAGTTTTTGACATCACAGCCCCTCTCTGTCCCCCCAGTTTCCCCCATCTGTAAAGGGGGACACTGCCCTCCTTTGTAAAGCTTCTTGTGATGTACTGATGAAAAATCCTATATAAGAGCTAAGTTTTATTACTTGTTAGTCAATGCCATTGCATTGCACTGCAATGTAAGCATGGCACAACATTGTGACACACATGGTTTGTAAACTCTTTGGGGGCAGGGATCACCTTTTTATTATGTGTGTGCATAGTGCCTAGTACAATGGGTCCCTGGCCTTTGATGGGGGCTTCTAGGCCAGGGGTTCTCAAACTGGGGATCAGGACCCCTCAAGGGGTCGTGAGGTTATTATGTGGGGAGTTGCAAGCTATCAGCCTTCATCCCAAACCCTGCTTTGCCTCCAGCATTTATAATAGTGTTAAATATATTAAAAAGTGGTTTTAATTTATAAGGGGGGGGGTCACACTAAGAGGCTTGCTATGTGAAAGGGGTCACCAGTACAAAAGTTTGAGAACCACTGTTCTAGCACTACTGCAATACAAATAATATAATTAAAGTAAATGCAAAAAAAAATAATCTTTGTTTATACAAAGTTAGGGTTTCCCAGCGACCGCTCATGTCCTTCCAGAATGCAGAGTTCAGCAAAATTTCAGAAAACCAGGAGATACAGAGTGAGGGTCAGAGTGGATATGATTTAAATCACTAGTCAGGAAGACTCGATTTAATCATGGATTTCTACATAAAAGTACATTCTTGTTGGTTGTTATAACCTTAATAGATATTCTTCACAACTCAGAGATAGATGTAGGTTTCATTTTTAGAAGGTACACACTATACATTTTTAAGTGATTTATTTTGAAAACTTTTCAGATCAGTTTTACAGCTATATCAGAAAATGAAATGATTGTTTGGTTATTTCATTTACCAAAGGTAATTGAAGCAGATATTTATGAAGTCATTGGGAGGTGAACTATCTCCAATTCATTAATTATTGGAGGATTTTCTTGCCATGCTATATTAGGAGGAGAACATCACCAGACAGACATTTAAATTGTTTTATTTAACTAAAACAACAAGGTTATATATTCTGGATTTTTTTCTTCAACAGCAAACATAATATTTTAACAAGACAAGGATATGAATTTTTGAATTGAGTTAAACATTCAAGTTTTTTAAAATCAGGTTTGTTTTTGTTAAAATTGTTTTTAACTAAAATAGTTAAATGAAATATTTAAAAAAAATTAAAACGACTATGTCAGCCAGGTCAACATGAGAAACTTAAAATATTGGCTTCTGCAGCTAATTCAGTCGTCTTCACCTTCATTTTCCTGTTTGTTCATAATCTGGAAAAGAAAAACAAGCTTTCCTGCTTTTTCAAGTCCCAAACGATTTCTCAGTTTGGAATGAATTAGTCCAAAGGAAGAGAATATTCTTTCTACACTGGCCGAAGAAGCTACTGCTGTTAAAAGTAGGATTATCATTTCAACAGTCTCTGAATCCAAGTGCTTAAGTGACTTCCACCAGTTCACTAGCGTGACTTTCTTTAAAGCATCATCAGCAAACATATATTTCTTGAATGGTTCACCTCAGCTCTGAAGTTTATTATAGTTGACATTATGGAGGGATGATTGCTGGATGTCCATGTCATAGCCAACTCCTCTTCTTCAGCAGTTAAGGTTTGACCCTGGTACCGAGTATTGAGAATATTTGCAAGAAAATGAGCTGAGATAGTGCTTTTCCCATTCATTTTTTAAATGTTTGTAATCTAACTCTGTCATTGCATATTTCTCTTTTTAAGGTCTCACTCAGTTCCTTCCAAATTTCAACAGTATCAACAATAAAACATCTATTTCCCTGCATTTTGTTCAAGGCTTCAGGGTACTCAGCATATGTTCAACATTTCTCTTAAGCCCAATGTAGAGAACTTTGGCTGTGACACTGCCATCTATTTATTTCACCATTTTGTTCACACACTGTTATCAGATTAGGCCAGTTCTTGCTATAGTGCTCAAAACAGTTCACTACTGAGTTCCATCACACGTCTTGTGGGAGAGTTAGCTTGGTTCTTCCCACTTTTTTCAGAGCAGCTGCTGCAAAGTGGTTGTTACGGAAGTATTTTGCTATTTCAACAATATTAGCCTTTATTTCTGGAACACTGAAGTGTTTGGCTAGGAGGTGCGACAAATGAGCACTGCAACAGTATGTTATTAGCTTGGGAGTCTCTTCTAAATAATTTCTTCTCATCTTGGATACATTTGCAGCATTGTCTGTGACCAAGCTGTGTACTAGACATTTTCATTTTTTTCCACAGTTTGTTATAGCTTTTACTGCTACTTCTTGTAAATATTCTTCTGTGTGTGCATTTCCTGATGTATCAATTGTTTCTGTGTTATACCAATAGAATAAAAACCAGCAGGATCTTATTAAGAGGGATAAGGCAAATATGCCACATTTATTGCAAATATAATAATTTAGGTTGTTTGACTACCTATTCCTATCACTACTTATTCCTTATACACATACAAACACACACACACACACACACATATATATTCATTCACACAATCAGTCATTCAAGTTCTGTATAGGTGTTATAGTTACCAGCCTAGAAGTTGCTCATGCCAAGTTACTGGCCAGGTATCTTGGTCATAAGGATGGAGCCGTGTCTGTGTCAGATGCACCTGATGCTCTTGGAGGCTGGCAGCAGAACCAGAGACTCAAAGTCCTCAGTCTTTAGAGTTCATTCTTATAGGAATTAATTCCTATGTTAGTCTATGGGAGCTGTTTCATCCTGCTGTTGCTGACTCAATCAGCAGATGGCACATTCCTGGTGGCTCCACACTGTCCAAAGTGGCACATTCCTGGTGGCTCCACACTGTCCACAGTTTGTGTTTCTCATCCTTCCAGGTGATGGGGTGGATCCCAGTTTACCCTCCGGGGGTTGTCTGGTGGTCTACTTGACACATTCTTTGGCCGATGGATACTCCCTTTCTAGGCTGGCACTTCCCTAACCATTCATGTACATCAAGCATTCATCAACATACATTCCATATCTTAACCATATTTTAATTTATTGTCTCCACCACTTTCGGGGTATGTGCTAATTCATTTGAAACTCCTGGCCCTTTAATCACAGAGGGTGGGAGTCTGTTCCTAGGAGCCGTTGCTGTAGGGTGACCAGACAGCAAATGTGAAAAATCGGGACAGAGGTTGTGGGGTAATAGGTGCCTATATAAGAAAAAGATCCAAAAATCGGGACTGTCCCTATAAAGACAGGACATCTGGTCACCCTACGTTGCTGTTACAATGAAGTGAAAGTCACTTAACGGCTTATAGTATTTGTTTACATTGTATCAATTACAGAATAAACTGCCTGAAGCACAGAGTCAATTGACGGCTTAAGGCTCACAGCAGAGTTGGT